GGGCCATTCCCATCCATGACGCTCAGCCTTCCCATTTCAACTGGTCACCGATTTCAGCAAAAGCTCTTTCGAGAAACGAGGGATCTTCTTTTGAGCCAGGGTGGCTGTGGGTGGAACCCAACAGGTTTGAGGGGACTCCTTTTCACGGGGACCCGCACCTTCCAAGCCAAAGCTGCATCAGAAGACTAGCACCCCCACCGTCTCCTAATCCATTTTAGCTCCCACCACCCGCTAGTCATTTTCTCCACTTCAAAGAAAGCTGCCCCCTGGCCTAATCTCCAAATCTCCTCTTGCGAAATTCTATCAACTCTGTAGTTTCACCTCCAGCTTCCCCAGATATCCTCCTGCTAGATGAGGTCAGGGAAGCTGATTTCCCCCCCCCCTCCTCCTAGGTAGCCCAATATCCCAGCTAAGAATAAACGAGGGAGGGAGAAAAAGAGAGCAAGCAAAGAAAGGGCTGGTTCTTTAGGGTGCCACTTCTCACCCGCCCCTTCTCTAGCAGGTGTGGTACTCCTCCTAACCCCCGTCTTTTGTTTAATGATTTTATGGGGGGGAAAGGAGACAGTTGTGGATAAACAGGTTTGACAGGAGCCTCTTGAGTTCACCCTTTCTCTTTTCTGCCTGTTTAGTTAATATCTTCTTTCACTCTCTCACCTCTCTCCCCCCCCCCGCCGATCTTTTGACATCAAAGTCAGTAATCTGTTCATTTCAGTGTCAAAGCATATGTGTATGTGTACACACAGAGAGACGCCTGCATGCATAAAAAGAGCTGTACACCTGCAAACGAAGAATCCTATTGGAAGACGGAACTTGGGAAGAAATGGAAAAATGGTGGGGGCAGAAGGGGGGTGATGGGGTGGACAGTAAAAATACTGAAGTTCTTTCCGTGTTTAATGCCAACCTTCTTTTAAAAAATAATAATAATCAACTATAAAGAAAGCAATTCCTCTGCACAGAAGTGCCCGGTTCCGAAGCATAAAGGATTTTATGACGCTCTACAACAAAGTCGTCTGCTCCGTCTCTCTTTTGGTATTAAATAAGCAATAAACTCCGTTATAGAAACATCGTTAGTACTTTAGTGAAATTAAGCTTATCGCTCAAAACAACACTTCCAGACAAAATGGCTTTGACTTGGCCACGACAAGTTTTTGGTGAAGACAGCCTTCTTCAGAAGAGTGTTGAGGATCGGTTGCTTTTTCGCCATTCCTTACGAAGAATGTTGTGTAGCTAAACAAACCTGCATGCTCTTCCTCAAGCACAAATGGTTTCGTAAAGAAGAAGAAGCAGCAGCACCTCCCTTTCCCCTATCTCTTTGGCGGGACGTTTCCACCAGCAAACAACAGCAAACGGCTACATAAAATGAACCCTGCCTCGTAGATCGTTAGACGAACACAGGGAATGAACTGGGCAGTTTGAAGAAAAGCTCTTGATGGCCAAACGCGTTTCAAGGCATTGTCCGCAAGGAAGTGGAAGCCACCCCCAGCTGGCCCAGAAGGACCAGGCTGCCCGTTCAACGGGCCAGGAGAAAAGCAGAGGCGCGGGCAAAACTGAGGCAGAGAGAAGCGAAGAGCGACCGGGCCCCTGGGAGAGGAGGGGCGGGCAGGTGTCGGAGCCTCCTAGGGGCTTTACGAAGCGCCCTCTTTAACTCCTCCGCCTTTCGGACTCTCCATCCCCGATCTCCGGAGTGGAGAAGACCGCGAACGGCCGTCAGGCGCCTTCACTCGAGGCTTCGCCTTAAACCTAATCTCGATAGATGTTAAAGGACACTGAGCTATGAACGTTATCACAGGTCCTGACAGCTACTGTCAACTGGGGTTAAATCAGGCAGCCCGCCCGCCAGCCAGCCCAACCGGCTCGCCTGGCAGCTCCTTTGGTCTCCCTGGCCGCGCTTCAACGTCGGAGTGTCCCACCAGCCTGGTTCGGTGCTTCCTCCGACCTGGTCCCTTCCTCTGCGGAGGTCGCGCCAGATCTTAATTGCGCCCATTTGTGAGCGGGCTTCTGTCCCCACCCCCCACCCCCACACACACAGTTTTTTGTCATGCTAAACAAGCGTGGTCCAGCCATCCTAACCTCGCTTTTCAAAGCCTCCCTCTTCGGTTCTTTTGTTTACCTTCGCCCGATCTCTCAGTTATTTATCTGTCTATTCTTTAGACTGCTTACCCTGCCATTCAGGTTCCGTGTATGTTAATTGTGTTGTGCCATTTAATTCTAACCGCGGTCTCAAAAGAGCACTTAATGAGAAAAACATCTACAACACGGATCACCCTCGCTATTCAACTCAGCCAGATGGACAACTGCGACCCGCTCTCGTCGCTCTTCTTCCCCCTTCCCTCCCTTTTAATGAAAACCCTTTCGGTAATAAAAGGAGAGAGACCTGATGAATAGAAGCGCCAAACACCGCTAATTGTTTGGGACAAGATGCTAATCTGTCCAGCTCCAGTTTTCTTCCGACTCTGTCAGAGATTCTCCCTCCCGTCCTCCTCTTTGGGATTTTGGAGAAATCTCAGCTGAAACCAAGAGAGGATGGGAGCAAGGCTGTTGTAAAGCAGGATTCTGAGTTGAGACAAGAGGAAAAGAAGAGTTTGCAAAAGGGGAAGAAAAGTCACTAAACTGAGGTTCCCCCAGGTCTCAACCAGCTTTCCCAGTATGGGAATTTCTGAATGAGTTGGGCTATATTTTCCATTATCCATGGTTGCAATGGCTGACAGCCAATCATGTTCCTACAGGCATATATTGGATTAGAGAAAGTTAGTCCACATTGAGTAGAAACCGTGACTGAAAGAAATTAAAGCGGCAGACCCAAGCAGAATAACTAAAGCACAAAAAAATCCTGCTGCTTGCCTGATAAATACTTCCAATTAAATAAAATTACCTATGATCTCCCTTGGAAGCACATAAGCATGCATCTAATCCTGAGAGATGTGACATCAAAAAGATATTTTGCACACGCAAAAGTGTTCCCATCCAGCACAGCTGTAGCTAAAGTGACCCTTACAGTCCCACCAAATTCACCCCCAACTTTGCCTTCTTTGCAGCAATCTCTACTTTCCAAAAAAAAAACCTTTAACTTTTCCCACATTGCAGCTGTCTTGGTTTGTGAACAAGTATAAATATGCTGGTGGCAGCACCTGGCTGGCCAGGTCAGGAGTAGAAAACTAAGCAAAAACAATTCAGCCAGAGCCTTCAGAGTGGGAAGTTAAAAAACCAATCATCCCAAAAAGGCAAACTATTGCTATAAAATACCATGAAAACTATTGCACATGAATGGATTGATGAAGTCACCAGTAATCAAGCTTGACTCAGGAATATTGTACCCTTTATCTTTAAAAAAACATGCATTATTTATTTTACTTTCTGAGGTGCTGGAAACATTTCAAGAATGCAATTTTTCTCTCCCTCCCTCCCTCCCTCCCCCCTCCCTCCCTCTCTCTCCTTGTGTGTGTGTGTGTGTAGAGAGAGGGAGGGAGGGGAGAGAGGGAGGGAGAGAGAGAGAGAGGGAGGGAGGGGGAGAGAGAGAGAGAGAGAGAGAGAATATGAATGAATCTTGGACCATAGCAAGTGATTTTCTACTCCCTTTCCCAACTTCTGCTAAGTCAACAGTTTTGTACCCAGATACCTAAGGGTAAGTCTCACTGAATTTAATGGAACTTACCTCTGATTAAAGATAACTCTCATGCTTTTAAAGCAGATTTGGCCTCTTGTAAAAATCAGTTTTACTGGGACTAACACCCCAAAAAGGTGCTGTAATTTTGGCCATACTTACTTTAGAATAAAATCTCCTGCAGACAATAGGATAGATTGGGGGAGGGTGCATATACTTAAAACGTTTAGGATTCCCAAGACACAATATATTTATGCACAATTGCTCAGAAATAAGTCCCACTTTCTCCTAGGGAAATGTGTTTTAGTGTAATCCCTGTATGACAGATCACAAAATGTGGAGATGCCGGACTCATCTGATATTTCCTGCATACTGAAAATATATACTCAAAGAATTTATATCAAGGAATGAAATAAGAGACTTGCACTTAAGTGAGTCACACCTTCTGGCTCATCCTATTCCCCCTTCTGGAATACAGGGAAATATGGTGAAGAAGAACAAAGTTAACCTTAGAAATAACTGACCGCAAAAGTGTATGCACATACTCATACAAGTATATGTACATGCTTGCACAGCACATGTGCCACAAGAAACAGATTTTAGCAAGGTGAGCAGAATACATCCAGAGGTTCTCCTTCACTGACATTGATTCAGGCACCAGTTAGCTCAATTCAGTATAACTGTGCAGGAGAACTTGCCAGTGGATTATGCCCAGATTTCAAAACTCTCCAATCTTGTTTTAGGTTCTTGAAGTTTCCTTACTTTTGTGTAGAGCTACTGTTATGAAGGACCAATAGCTCAATACCTTGGCAAGTCAAAGGAAACCTTTACGTTTTCAACTTCCTTACAGTCCATAAAGCTTTTATGTGAAACTTCATAAGAACTGGAATGGGATTCACACAACATAGTTGACCCAGTTGCACGACAGATTGTCTTTATTCAAAATGCCTTTTTTTTTTTTGTTCAACAAATGAACAGAACTGACGAGGTAAAATCCTTTTGGATACATTGTCTCCCCAATACACTTTAAACCATATTTAGTTTATCACCATGTTACTCTTTTTTAAAATTATTTTTATTCTCTTTTTATTAAAAAAAAACCTACAGTCTGATGTCATAGCTGACATTCTGTCTAAAGTAAACTTAGGCCTACTTGCACTTATTCACACAAATCGAAGGACTATCTGTTTAAAATTAAACAAATACTATCATATCAGGTTTGAAATATAAAACTTTTAACCCCCCTTTAATAACTCTAAAGAGCTGTTGTGTTATTTTAATCTTTCTGACATGAAAAGCAATGTTATCTATTAGTGCTGGATGATAAAATATAGATATATAGAATATATATATATATAACACAGCTAAGTCTTGATTTTAATGTGCAAAGGAAAAAAGGTAGGGTATCATTAGGTTAGAGCAGTTCTGGGATTTTAAAAATTAAAGTCCGAATAACATTCAATCATACAAACTCATTAACATTAATAAATTAAAAAAAATTCAAAAGGATCGCTGTTGACCTTTAGCCAAAAGGGCAGTTAAAAGTTTGACACATATACAAGTTGTACAAGTTTTGGGCCAATCTGAGCCCCAAGTGCAGAAAGCAAGGAAAGAAAGTTTTCTGTAAAGACTGAGAGTTTTTTTGGATTTTGGATTCTAAGGTTTTGGTGTCCCTACCACCACCCCACCCGAAGAGTCTCAGAGTCTTTGCCCCGGTGGAAGAGATTCCCCTGGGCATCTTTCCACGCTCAAGTGGCGGATTTCGGTTAGGCGGATTGTTTGTTTCTGGAGTTCGGTATGGTACATGCACAACGATTGGCTTCCGATTTCTTCCTTTGGCCAGTCTCGCTGGCCCCATACAGATTCCAGTCGCCTGCAATGTGTGGGACTGCCAGTGGGAGTTTGGTTTGTGTGTTACATGGCTGCAGCGTGCGCTGAAGAATAGGGGTCTATTCCAGTCTTGGTCATGCCCGGGAATAATATGTAGGCAACAGGAGGCTGCAAACTGGACGTAGACCAAGCCGTACAGTTACAAGGCACCACGTAGCCCGGGTTGGTTGGCGACGGGTGAGTGTGGGTGTGCTGGCTCGGGCAACTCAAGGTGCCAAAAGCCCCATTCTGGTATCCCAAGGTTGAGGCGTAGGGCAGAGTGCTGGTAGCTAAGGTGTGGGGCACCTCGGTCATCTTCTGGATGGCGCTGGAGCTGAACTGGCTGGGGTCAAGTAAAGAGTAAGGTGCGGAGGTGGGGGGCAAGAAGGCCCTCGCCTTCTCCGGGGAGCCGAGCAAAGAGTCTGTGGCTGCCACGGGGAGCCCTGCCGCCTTGAGGGGGTCGGTATCCCCGAGGTAAGGCAAAGGGAAGACATACCTGTCCTTCTTGAGCAAGTTCTTAGGCTTGCGGCGGGGCCGGTACTTGTAGTCGGGATGCTCCTTCATGTGCTGGGCGCGCAGCCTCTTGGCTTCGTCTATGTAAGGGCGTTTCTCGGCCTCGGACAACAGCTTCCACTCGGCCCCGAGGCGCTTGCTAATCTCCGAATTGTGCATTTTAGGGTTTTCCTGGGCCATCTTCCGACGCTGCCCCCGGGACCAAACCATGAAGGCGTTCATGGGGCGCTTGATGTGATCCGAAGGCTTGGACATGGTGCTGCGCGGACCGTCTGGCGCCTCCAGGAGCAGCCGTCGTCCCCCGTCCGCCGTCCGCTCGCCGGCTCCGCTTCCCCGCCTGCCTTCCAGCCAAGGCCGCCACCGACGACGCCTCCCTCTCAACTGATCATACCAGTTCTCCCAGCAATCCAGTCCCCACCGAAGTGCCCCGAGGGACGGCGAGCGGAGTGGCCGGGGCCTCGCCCGGAGTGGCGAGCCTTTCCGCTGGGGATCCCTTCGACGTTGCAGGAGCTCCGGTGCCGCGTCGGCGGGACGCGAAAGGCGGCACCGAGAAGGCAAGCGGAGGAGTGGAAGCCGAAAGAGGACGCTTGGAAGGCGAGCCCGCTTCGGACGGCGCGCAAGCTGACAGAGCTGCGAGCGGGGCGTTCACTCTCCCCACCCGGTGGCCCAATCAGCGGCGGCAAGCGGGAGCTGGGGGGGGGGAGGCTACCTTCGCAAAGGCGAAGAGCGAAAAAGAGGCGGGGGAGAGAGGGAGGGAATCGGGGGGCGAAGGGAGAAGAAATCACTAAAGACTCGGGATTAAAGGAGCCGCTTTTGTTCGACGGCGCACTAATAGCGGCAGCCAATAAAACGCCTCACGCCCCCTCGTTTGGGGGCGGAGTAGGAGGGGAAAAACGCCGGGGCTGCGAGTGGGGGCGGAGGGAGACGAAAGGGCTGGATTCTAATCCTCTCCTTTCTTGCGGAGGGAGGGGGGGGAGAGCAAGCCAGTCGTTTTATCAATTGGGGCAGCGCGCGAGTCAAGGGCAAAGGCGCACCGCTTTTTCTTTCTCGTCTTCTTTTCCCCCGATCCAGCCGGGCTGAAAGGCGGGGGGAGCGGGGAGTCTAAGTGCCTGTCAACTGGCCGACAACAGGAAGCACGAGGGGCGTCGAAAGTGAGAGCAAACGAAGAAGAGCGAGCAGCCCCCCTCATTCTCCTTCCCTCCCTCCCTTCCCTCCTTCTCTCTCTCTCTCCCGGAGACATCTAGAGTTCGGGCCGGACAGAACCTGGCGAACGTGATAGACCAGGCAGGGCTGGGCTGGGTGGGAAGCAAACGCGGTGACTCTTCTTTCGGAGAGCTCTGACAAACGGCAAGCGGAGAGAGAACGGGGGGCTATATTTCCCCTCTTCCTCCCGCTTCGTCCGAAGAATTTGCTACCAGGGAGGGCCAAGAAGGGAACCCTCAAGAAATCCAGTCCCCGCTCAGAGGAAGGCTGCGAAAATTCTGTGGCGGATTTCTTCTAAGTTGTCCCCATTTCAAGAACTGACCCCCTTTTTTTTCTCCCCCCCCCCCCCCCCTGGTGTTTTATTGTTATTTTCAAGCTATTAAAGATCGGCTTCTAAGAAAACCGAAATCCCCATAGGAGCCCTTTCTACCTTCCACGCCTGTTTTCTTTGAATAATTGCTGCCTAACGCAAAATGCCCTTTGGGCTTGTGGGGGGGAAATATTTATTAAATGGAAACCATTT